ACTTACTGATTTTGCATAACTCATGCTGAACCTGTCCAACACCTTCTCAACATAGCTATGCTGAGATAGTCATAATCTCCTAAAAGCTCTGTCCTTGGGAATCTCCATCCCAAGAATCTTCTTGGCCGCACCCAAATCCTTCATGTCAAATTCTCTACTCAACAAAGTCTTCAACTTGTTGACCTCACTCATACTCTTGGCAGCAATCAACATATCATCCACATAAAGTAACAGAAAAATAAATGAATCATCATCAAGCCTTTTTACGCAGACACAACAATCATACTCACACCTTTTGTAGCCAATTCGGATCATGTAAGAGTCAAATCGTTTGTACCACTGCCTCGGAGACTGCTTCAGCCCATAAAGTGATTTCTTCAAATTACAGACCAAATGTTCCTCTCCAGGGAGACTGAACCCTTCTGGCTGTACCATGTAAATCCGTTCCTCCAAGTCGCCATGAAGGAAAGCTGTCTTTACATCCATCTGCTCCAACTGCATATCTGAATGTGCTACTAGTGCCAACACTGTCCTGATGGAAGTGTGTCTGACCACGGGGGAGAAGATCTCATCATAGTCAACCCCTTTTCTCTGTGAGTAACCCTTTGCTACTAGACGAGCCTTGAATTTTTCTCCCTCATTTTCTGATACTGCTTCTTTCTTCTTATACACCCATTTGCACCCTATTGCTCTCTTCCCCTCGGGAAGTTCCACCAACTCCCACGTCTGGTTCTTATGCAGAGACTCCATCTCCTCCACCATAGCACCCATCCATCTACTTTTCTCTTGGCTTTGTACTGCCTCCTGAAAAGTTGTAGGATCCCCGCTACTAGTAATAAGCGCATAAGAAACCAAATCTTCAAAACCATACCTGGTAGGTGGCTTGATATTGCGTTTGGGCCTGTCTGTGGCTATACTATGATGTTGTTGATCACTTGAGATAGAACACTCTACATGCTGAACATCCTCTTCTCTACCATGATTCTCTAGCTCCACCTGCACCACATGGTCATTAGTGCTACAGTTTTCTGGTACTTGTTTCTCTTCTTCCTGAGTACGCTGCAACATGGCTTTTTCATCAAAAACCACATCTCTACTGATCACCATCTTGTTTGCCTTCGGATCCCAGAGCTTGAAGCCTTTCACTCCTTTCTGATATCCCAGAAAGATACACTGTCTAGACTTCGCATCAAGCTTCGACCTCTCCTCACTAGAAACATGTACATAGGCTGGACATCCAAACACTCTCAAACCAGAGTAGTCTACCTCACTGCCTGTCCACACCTCCTCTGATACTTTCCCATCTAGTGCTGCCCTCGGTGATCTGTTAATCAAGAAACATGCCATATTCACTGCCTCTGCCCAGAAATTCTTTGCAAGCCCTGCATTCAACCTGAGACACCGAGCTTTCTCGGCTATCGTTCTGTTCATCCTTTCCGCTACACCATTTTGTTGTGGTGTCTTGCGGACTGTGAAGTGTCTCTTGATCCCATGCTGCTCACACAACTCCTGGAACTTTGAATCTGTGTACTCAGTACCATTATCTGACCTGAGGCATTTAATCTTCCTCCCTGTCTGGTTCTCTACTTCAGCTTTCCACAGCTTGAACTTGGCAAACGCTTCTGACTTGTGCCGCATGAAGTACACCCAGACCTTTCGTGAGTAATCATCAATGAAACTCACGAAATACATGTATCCTCCCCGTGATAGTACGCTAACTGGTCCCCAAACATCTGTATGGACATAGTCGAGAACCCCCTCTGTCTTGTGTGTGGCTGTCTTGAACTGCACCCTATTCTGTTTTTCAAGAACACAATATTTGCAAAAATTGAGCTTGCATGTCTTGACACCCTTCAATAGATTTTTCTTATGAAGCTCTATCATCCCACGCTCACTCATATGACCCAGCCGCATATGCCACAAGACTGTATTATCTGATTCAGACTCTACAGCAGCAACTCCACCTACAATTGTAGTACCCAGCAGTCTGTAAATGTTTCCTACTACTTTCTGTCCCTTCATCACTGTCAGCATGCCTTTACTTACTTTCATTACTCCACTTATAGATTTGTAACTATAACCATTACAATCCAAAGTGCCCAATGAAATCAAATTCTTCCTTAGATCCGGTACATGTCTAACATCACACAACGTTCTAACCATACCATCAAACATCTTAATTCTAATATTTCATATTCCAACAACTTTGCAAGATGCATCATTACCCATCAGAACAGAACCAGAATTTACTGACCTGTAGGTGTCAAACCAATCTTTGTTGGGTGTCATGTGATAGGAACATGCTGAATCCATAATCCAAGAATCTGTTAAACGATCTGAACTAGATAAAACAGAAAGCATATCTCCGTCACCACTCTCTGAATCTTCTTCTTCCACTACGTTTGCAGACTTTGATGCACCCTCTTTGTTCTCTGAATCCCCTTTCTTTTTCTCTGGACAGTCCCGTTTAAAGTGCCCCTTTTTCCCGCACTTGTAACACGAGACAGAGACGTCCTTCTTCTTCTTCCTCGACTTGGACCGGGCTTTATTGTTACCCGATCCATTCCGAGATTTGCTTCTTCCACGTTCCTGGTTACCTTTCACCACAAGCCCTTCACCTTGTGAAGCCTCATCACTGGCTTTCTTCCGCTGATGAAAACCTAACAGAGCACCTGTGACATCCTCCAATTCGAGGGTTTCTTTCCCCCACATCAGAGTCGTAACCAAATTCTCGTACGTAGGAGACGCCGGTAAGGAATTCAGCAACATCAGCGCCTTGTCTTCGTCTTCGAACTTCACATCAACTCGCTTCAGATCGCTGATGATCTGATTGAACACGTTGATGTGTTGGGTCAAATCCGAGCCCTCTGACATCTTAAGACCATATAGTTTCTGCTTAAGATAGAGCTTGTTCGTCAACGACTTGGACATATACCGACTTTCCAGTTTCAACCAAACTTCCGCCGGTGATTCCTCATCCATGACGTGATACATCACTTCATCAGCCAGACAAAGCCTAATAGTCGCCACAGCCTTTGCTTCCAATTCTTTCCAATCCATGTCGTCCATTCCTGCCGGTTGTTTTCCGTATAATGCCTTCACCATGCCCTGCTGCACTAACAGGTCCTTCACCCTCCTCTGCCATAATCCGAAATTCTCAGTTCTGTCGAACTTTATGATGTCAAATTTTGTAGAGGAAATCCCAGACATCGTAGTCTAGCTCTGATACCAGTTGTTGTGATCGTGCAGCAATTATGGTGAGTAGTAAGGAATCAAACAATTAAGAAAGCAGGAGAAAATAACACACAAAGATTTATGTGGTTCGCCAATATGCCTACATCCACGAGAGCGAGCAGCCGTTCTTTTTCATTATTCAAAGTAGGGTTACATCTTAAGTATTTATATAACCCCAATACGGACATATTTATAAAAATACCCCTGTACCGTACCGCGGGGCAGTTGCCCCCGCACCCCCAACTAATTAGCGTCCCCTTTATATAAATTCCGAAAGGCAGATGCCGTCGCGAGCTCCACTCCGGCATCTGCCTCTTTGTTATTATGCAAACAACAAATATGAGCCACACATACTCTAACACCTCTTTCATCTTTTCTCTTTGCTGCTTATGGAAGGAAGAGAAAGAATGACACTTTCCTAACTCTAATCAGAAAAGGAGATTTCTAATGTAAAGGAATGAAGTTTTTCCAAATCCAAAGAGAGACCTACTAGAGGAATTTGTTTGCTAGCACAGTGGGTCTCTAATAATGACGCTACCAAATGGAGAAAATTCAATGGAGCGAAAAGTTGAAAAAGCCACCGCATGGAACAAGATATCTAGTCTACCCAAATGAAGGAGCTCACTCATGCCCTTAACCCCCTTTCAACACTAGGGTTTTGAGGCATGAGAGGCAAGTGATGAGCCCAGATTTAGAACAGGTCAGTTCATGGGTTAAGCTCAAACCATTAAAAGGCAGGCCAGACTTATCTCATAGCCTCAGTCCAATCCAAAGTCTAAGTGTCCAGGAAGAGTCAACGCACGTGGAAGAGCAATTATTGGGATAGTCATTAATCTAAGATAGTGCTCATCGCCAATTGTAGCTTTCCTCCCTGATAAACTAGTACATTGACCCTCACGTCACTGCCTCAACTAAGGTTCTACGTCTATAAATTTTAAACCCTCTACACATGGAGAAAGAAATCTCACATACCTTAACTTGAGCGTACTCTTGTTCTCTCTCTCCTCTACTACCTTGTACTATTTTATTAATAGAGTTTTTCGGCCACTGTTTCAACCTTCGGTGGTTATGTCCCCAAACCTAACCACCCAACTTTTGTCTCTTATTATTAACTATTTTATTAATTGTTTTATACCATACACTCGACTGATTTGATTGTGCATAAATTTATTTTTGTGCACTATCACAATCAACACTCAATTATAGATATTGCAGAGTGTCTTCAAATATAGAGTATTTGATATTGTACCATGGATGAGACAATCACATATATCTTTCGATCCAAATGGCTAGTAATGTGTGTACAACATGATAAAGTTGTCATTATTATGTAGTTTGGAAGCATTAGATTCGTATTGCGAAAATAGAAATTAAAGAAAGGGAAAGAAAACTGTGTGGAAATTAAAGGTGTAGAGAAAGGACAATAGTTGCAAACAATGATGCATAGAGATTTAGCTGGAAGGGTGGAATCACAGCTAACATCAAAAGAATGGAAATAACCATTTTATACTTGAAGCTTGACGCTCAGCAACACTATTTTTTAATATTAATAATATGATGATAAATAACTTCTACAACAATATTTTCTAGGCATGGGTCTTCTAGATCTCGGATCCTTCGGTCAACCAAACCTGTTCAACAACAATCCAGCATTTCTATGTTATAATATATTGTTACATTGATGGCAGCGTTGAGGTAATGATTAACAGAGATTCAACTTCTATTATCAATTTCCTTGCAGGTTCCACTCTCTCTCTCTCTCTCAGATGAGAGAAATAGTCTCCTCGGAAGTTTGGTCTTTTCTGATCACAACGCTGCTGCTCACTATTTTTCTTGTCAAGTTCATACAAAATAAGGTGGTCGGAAAAGGCAATGAGAAATTTCCCCCTGGGAGAAGAGGCTGGCCAATAATTGGTGATAGCTTCAACTGGTACAATGCTGTTGCAAGTTCTCATCCCCCTCGTTTTGTTGAAGAACAAATTAAAAGGCATGTTTAAAGTTTCTTTTGTTTTGTTTTGTTTTCAATCGTCATTCTCCCTTCCATTTATTAGGCATTGCTCCTTTAGATACATATTACAAGATGCTTCCAAGAAGGGGCATATCTAGGTTATTTCTAAGAGGGGGACGTCCTTATAATTTTCAAAGAAGTCTAGAGACTTTGGAAGGGCTTGATTGATTAAAAAGGAATAATACCCTTCAACTGGTATGCATGTTGCAATGCTCCTCGTGGAGTAGATCCAGCGTTCAACCAAGTCTTTGACCAGGGAACAACAGAATTCCCACTACCGCTGGCAGGCCAACCGGGTCGTGAGCGCGGCGAGAACGGGCTTCTTTGCATTAAATTCTTTTTTATGTTAAATCCAACGTCAGAATGCCAATCGGCATTGGTAGATTATATTCAAAAATATAGGAAAGAAAGTGTATTGGAGGCACTAATAAGCAACCACAATCTAGCAAGACCAAAGTTTTCAAGTCAGCTCATGCATTAAACCAAAATTCACCTGAGTTTTGTCATCAATGAATGACAAACTTGAGCCAGAAACTTCTTATTATACACTCCACTGATCTATGTATTTTGTTCCAGTGAATTCATCATAAGTTCTGGCAAATATGAGCTGTAATTCAGTTTATGCTAAGTTCTGAATGAATTTAAACAGGTTTGGGAAGATATTCTCATGTAGTCTGTTCGGAAAATGGGCCGTGGTGTCTGCAGACCCAAGCTTTAATCGATTCGTGATGCAAAACGAAGGGAAACTCTTTCAATCAAGCTATCCGAAATCTTTCAGAGACTTGGTGGGCAAAAATGGAGTGATCACAGCACAAGGAGAGCAACAAAGAAAACTCCATGCTATTGCCTCCAATATGATGCGGTTAGAGAAGCTCAAGTTCCATTTCTTGCAGGATATACAAAGAGTTATGCTTCAAACCTTGAACAATTTTCATGAGAATCAAGTCATTCATCTCCAAGATGTTTGCAGAAAGGCAAGTACATGGCCATCACGTTTAGCGATTAAAGCTCTATTGGGTTAAATTAGCGCCCCAATCTGAAAAAGGCAAAAGATATTAAGGATCATTGTACTTTAGAACACAAAATTTTTCGCTATATATTTTAGTATAAAAATATTTATGAGACGCACTCCGGGTAAAGATCTGCCTGATTTCGATTTGCACATATAGGACAAATACTCTCATTACTATTTCTTTTTGTTATGACTTTTTTTTTTCACTTCATTTCATGCCATCCGCCAAATATTTAATGTATTCATCCCAATGGTTGAACCTTTCAAATAAGTTGTAAGTTTGACATGACATTAGAGTACAAGATCATGCGTTGGAATCTTGGCATATTCAAAAGATATCAATTCTTGACAAAAAAAAAATAAATATTAAAGTATATAAATATTTAAGTTAAACCATCTCTAATAATTAAATTCTAAAATGAGTTCACAGTTTAAAATAATGGAAAACAGAGAATAAAGAGATATAATCAAACATAAAGACACGATAAAATGGCCGAAGACCATACAGAGTAATTAAGAGCTAGATTGTTTTCGAGGACAATTCTACAATATTTTGGCTATTCCAAGCAAACTGCATTAAATTTTGCAAGTTTTGGTTTTCTTTTCTGGCTACAAGCATGTGCTTTTCTTTTGGTATGATGCATATGGACCTATAAAATAATGCATGTTCTGATCACTTCTATGTCCACCTTTTCTTAGTTTACGAAAAACTTATATTTCAGGTGGCTATTAATCTGATGGTTAATCAACTGCTTGGAGTGTCTAGCGAATCGGAAGTCAATGAAATGGCCAAACTCTTCTCCTATTTTGTTGATGGCTGTCTCTCTCTTCCAATCAATTTGCCAGGTTTTGCTTACTACACTGCAATGAAGGTAACAAGTTGATTGACAGGGCCCTTTACATTTATTGTTTGATTGGAACCATTTAGCATCACCTTTTGCGCAGGGAACCTAATAAGTAATAACTGGTGGGTGTATTTTGTTAAACATAGAAAAATTATTTATTGAGATTTTGAAATGATATTAGACTTAGAAATATTTTAAACAGTAATTTACAAGAAAAATTAGTACTAGTCTACCATGTCATTTATTAGAAGATTCAAGTATATAAACAGAAGATATGTTAACTATTATTATTATTATTAAAATCATTCATCTTAAAGAGTCCATTACTCAAATATCATTTGCCTACATAAATTCCACCTTTAGTGAATACAAATTTGTCAGACTCGAAAATTAGCTTAAAACCCTTCTTACTTAACAATAATCCCAAACACAAGATTCTTTTGTAGAACATGTAACACATCATTAAGAGTAAATTTTTTTTCTAAAAGTCATCTACAATATAACTTTTCATTTGCCTTTAATTTTGGAAGTAGATAAAATTTTCATCAACAGTTGTTCTCCATAACTAATAGTTTCATATAAAGAGAACATCTTCTTATCTGAGTATATGTGCTTAGTGGCCCTAGTGTCCACCTATAATTTCTTGGTATTTTCCACCAAGTTTATTACAGATACTATGACAGAAAAATTCATGTTAGTTTCAAATTTTTTTTTCATTTTGTTATATTGTCTTAGGCAGCTTTCTTCTTGTGGTTCTTTTGTGCTTTTGGGTTTCTGCAATTCTTAGCNTTTTTTCATTTTGTTATATTGTCTTAGGCAGCTTTCTTCTTGTGGTTCTTTTGTGCTTTTGGGTTTCAGCAATTCTTAGCACGATGTTCTAATTTGTTACACACAAAACAATTGCTTTTGAACCTTTTGAAATCACCACCCTTGTCCCATTGTTGGCTAACATGACTTTCTTTTCTTATTGGTTTTTTATCCCTCTTCAATCACATGTGTCTTTGACTCCATGGAATAAATACCAACTTTATTTTTGGAGACTCTATTATCCTCTTCAATCCACAATTGCACAATCAAGTTTTCAAGTTTCATTTATTTACGTTTGCGCTTCAAGTAGTTCTTGAAATCCTTGCAATGTGGCGGTAATTTTTCAATAATTTTAGCCACTTGGAAATACTCACTAAGCATCATCCCTTCGATATGAATCTTATATAAGATTACTTGAAGATCTTGAACTTGACTAATGATAGTCTAAAAATCCATCATTTTGTAGTCACAGAATCTGGTCACAATGAATTTCTTCATTTTGGCATTCTCTGTTTTTTACTTTTTTTTTCTAAGGATTTCCACAGCTCTCTATCCATTTTGATTGGACTATACACATTATATATGTGTTTTCCAATCCATTAAGGATATCATTTTGTAGTCAAAGAATTTATTCACAATGAATTTTTTCATTTCAGCATCCTTTGTTTTGTACTTTTTATCCAAAAATTCTCATAACTCTCTAACCATTTTGAATAGCCTAGACACATTATATATGTGTTGTCCAATCCATTAAGGATATAGTTCTAGTATAGGAAATCAGAGTTTTTCCATGAATCCACCGCAACAACCTGGCGGTCAACCTCATTTTCACGAAGAACAAGAGCATGCTCACGAATAAACTTTACAAGATTCAACGTAGTGAGATAATATCTCTTGAAATCAATTTCATTGAACTTTTCAAACTTTTCTCCATGAGTCACAATAGTAGGTACAAAAATAGCCACTACAAGATTTGTAGTAGTAGAGACATTATTCTTATTTGAAGTCATTTCTGATAAACAAAATTATAAAATATTTAAAACAACAAAACAAGTAACAAATTAAACAATTTATGTTACTGTTTTTTTATTGAACTGTTCATATATTACTGTAACTGTCCAATGTTACTATTATTGTCTAATGTTATTGTAACTATCCAACGTTATTGTTTCCATCTCATGTTACTATTTATGCGTTAGTGTTTTTGTCTTATGTTACTGTTTTTGTGTTACTATTTCAGATGAGCATAAAAAAAATAAACAATACATATAACTTTTTCACAAAATATTCCAAATATCACCAAAATACTACAGATTGTAAAATTCAAGTTTTTTAACAATTGCAGTATTTAAACATAAATCAGAAACACAATAAGTAATAATATCATATGGAAGACCAGTCTTAAAATTATTGGGTGTATTTACCAAATATAGAAAAGTCACTTATTCAAATTCTGAAATGATATTAGGCTTAGAGATATTCTAAAAAGAAACATATGTTTATGAAATTAGGAGCAAAATAATAGCATGCAAAAAAACTTGTAACATGAAAATCTATAATTAAACAACCTAACCCGTTTGCAGAAATGGAGCTGTAATTGAACTTTGTAAATTAAAGCTAGTATTTGACAGTGTGTCTTTAAGACAAATTTCACCCCCACACTTGGTGCTTATGAAAATCTAACCCCTGTCTCCCAGAATACTACAATCTTCACGCAATTAGAAGTAACACTCTAATATAATTGTTCAGCAAATTAGAATAGTTTTGTGTACTCTAAGAACAATGCAGACTACTAATGTCAAAAATATGAATGTAATGACTGTCTTAATTTGTAACATAGTTAATGCATAATGGTAATGAATTTGAGTTATTTTGTAGACAGAATGGTGATTTTGATTTGGACAGCCACCATGCGAACAAACGCAACCCAGAAGATACAATGGAGGCAAAAGAAACCATTGATGCCTGTCCGATGATGAACATAAATGAATTCAAATTTTGGAATTGGATGAAAAATTAAATTTAAGTCAGTGCGAATTTAAAATCCAATGGGTATAAATAAAATTTGGGATAAAAAATTTGGACCCAATTCATTAAACAAATTTTCTTCAAAAAGATAAAGTTATGTCTAAACCACACCCACATCCACAATTGAGCCCGCCCTTGTCCCTACGCCTGTCATGTAGGTGCTCACTCTGCTAACAAAAATGTGGTATTCCTTGGGGCCTAATTCATAGTGCCAATTTGGGATATATATGCACATGTATAATTTTTTACCCAACTAATGTTGGATTGATGTCATATCCCACATTGTCTAACCTATTATTTTCACATTCCAATATAGTTACTTTGGAGCTTGTTTTATCATTCATCTCTTACTCAATTTGAGCTAGTGAATATATTACGCTATTGTCTTCATGGAATAGGACACGAACCCACAAAAATTTATTCAAAAGGACAAATGGATCCCACTTTAATTTAGGTTCAAAGTCAACTAAAAACACTTTGTATTAGTTACCACAAATTTTGGACTCCTTTTTGTGTGGATATCATGCGTTGCAGCAAAACCAATTGAACATAGTTAAGAGTAGTGTTTTAAAACTCGGCCAGGTCTGGCATGTTGACCTAAAAAATCAGTGACCCGGTGCCTGAACCGGGCCAGTTTTGTAATTAGATCGTTTAAGGAAATAACTCGGCTGAATCTTATCAAACCGACCAATTTTTTAACAACTTGTGCAAACCGAGCGAGAAATTCATAACTGCAGGAGTCTCCCTCTTTCATAAATAAACACCTAACACAAATTAGGATTCAGGTCCCAATCCCAGATTTGAGAGCCCCAAACTAGAAGTTCACAGTCACAGTCACCCCTTATTTATCCTCTTCTTCTTTTGTGATCTCTTCATTGGATAATGACAAGAATCGATATGCCACAGTCACCATCTACTTCCTATGTGTTTCGATTTTATGTCAAGGACCGCAAGAGTGTTGGATGCAAAGGCATAGCTTGGAGGGGGTTTCAGTGGTGCTAGTGGCGAGACAATTATATGAGGGTTTGAAGATAATGATGAAGGAAGAGGAGATGGCGGCGGTGAGAGATGGATCTTAGTGGTGCTAGTGGTATTGGGGATTGATTTGTTCTAGGTTATGATGGTGGCTTCTTCTAAAGCTCCATGAAAAGCCCATGTTTCAGAGAGAGAGAAAGAGAGACCCATGTGAAAAAAGAGGACATGAACCCACCGAACACAAGAACTGATGATACACAAAATAGTCTTATACAAGATCCACAGTTGAGTGTGTGACAAAGTGTAATTAATGGAAAATTAATAGAGCAATCAATGACAATAATGTAAATATCGG